AGGGGAAGAGGGGCTGTTTGTTTTTCCCCCTCAGAGAAAAAGTAATTTAAGTGAAATGTGCGAGGCGGTGTTTAATTGCTTCCTGCCTTGTTTGTACATAGCAATTTGGCTGTTTATTGGTTGTCTTTGTTCAGATTTTTATTGTAACTTGTTGCTATATACGCAACCCAGCGTATGCTAAAGTTTAAACTTTGCCACACAATAATGCACAATTTTATGTGCTTTAAAACTTTGTAAACATCTCGATGAACGATGTCTGCTGTGCTAACTGTGAGCCTGGGACTTGACACAACAATATTTTCATGCGTATGTACCTGCAAATGGTTTGAAAATAGCAAAATATATATTGAGGATGGCCACGAGCCAAGAGTAAATGAGTGCCGTATGACTCATGCTTCTTTAATAATTCCTGAAAGAGGCATGTATAGTACATAAAATAGACAATAAAAATAATTTTCAAGACTACAAATATTTTTTATAACTTCAGATATTAAATACTATTTTAGAAAAAAAAAAAAAGTTGGTTGGTAAAAGAAATCTTAAGTTTATTCGAGTGAATCATTGTCATAAAAACGTTCTTAACATAGATTTTTTTGTTTGATCTAATATCATAGAAACTCAGCTCTTTTAAGATTTAGAAGACTTGAATTGCTCTTGCATTCTTACAACTCCTGTGATCTTCTAAAATTATGGACTTCAAGTCTTCTCCTTCATTAACAAAAAAATACTGGTGTGTACACTCACATGATCCCAAATACCACGTGTACTCGTGCACAATCTTTAAATGGTGTTTTTTGAAACATGTTTTATTTTACCATCATCAAGTTCCCCTGTATGTGAGCTTTACAATCCATGCAAATCTGACCATGGTTTGTGTTTTTCCCTGAATTCCCTTTATTTTATTAGAAAGTTACTTTTTCTAAGGCCAAGCTTTCAAATCTGGTCTCTAAATTTTGATTTTAATTCAGACACCTGAATGAAATAGGCATGGCTTCCAGTGTTTGTGGGTGAAAATACCCTCCCACCAAAGGCAACAGAAATTTAAATTTTGTCACATATTCTTGTACAAAGAAAAGCAAAGCAAGGTAATACTTCTCATGGAGTACAGGATTGGGTTACTGTGTGCAACCAAGAGAAATAAGAACAACTCCTTTTGAATGCTGAATTGAAACTGGAAGGGTTCTGCTCTGGGTCACTGTTTACCTGTTTCAAAGACAGACAGGTTGCTAAATGTATTTTAACAATGAGATGATGCCATAACTGGAATAAGTGACATTCCAAGGTCACAGAGAGCTTGTGGCAGAGCAGGGACATAATTCCCTGGTCAGCATCCATTATCAGGTGATTATCCATGGCTTGTGCATGGGTACACACGGTAAAGGACACGCTGACCAATGTCTGCATTCCAGCCAGGACATGCCAACTCAATGCAAGCTTCAAAACAACAGCATCTTACTGGAGTATCTGTGAATATTTTCACACATGGAGAACGTTTTAGCCAAAACACAGCCAAAGTGGAGTTAATCAGCAGAGCAAAACAAGTCTTAAAATACAAGATAAAACGTGACTGTCATTTCTGCTTCCTCGATTTTTAATTTCAGAACATGAAAACTGTCACAACATTTACTAAGTTAGTACAAGAAAAAAAAAATGCAAATAATTAGTCATGGACAGTAACCTAAGAAATTACCTGGGAAAAACAACCCAAGACAAAGCAGGATTTTTGTGTGCATGTACTTCAGTCACTCTGGTGCACTTTGCATGTCCCATGCATTTTTAGAGCCTGCTTGTTTGTATGTTTTGCTTGCCCCAAGCTGAGATTTCTTCTCTCTCTAAGAAGAGCAGTAAGAGAGCAGTGCAATTCTTACAGACCTTTCTCACACGTCTGCCATGAAGGACAGTGCTGTTCTCTACCTGCCTCTGTGTTCTCCGCTGTTTTACTGAAATGCTTTTAAACCAATTGGAAAAAAGTTGCAAACTCTTCTAGGCATGTTTCTGACTTGCTCTTCTGACAGTAAAAGATACCCATTTCACTGTTCCACCCCAATATATTGACCTAGAGAAACTCTCATCTCTCTGAGAAAACTATTAACTTATTTTTTAATTATGTCTTTAAATAAAAGCTTTGGGTTTGATTTGGGTTTTTTGTTTGTTTTTGCAAACACACAAAAAATCTCTATTCATAAGCTTTGCTGTTCTCTTCCCCAGGCTGCTGTTTTCAATCTCTCTTTTCAAACAACTATATGTTCATTTAGAAAAGAATTATTAAAATGTTTCTATTTTCTTCAAGTTTGCAATTCACAAATATTAATGAATTGGTCCTAATTAATCAGAAGGACTTCTGCTCCTTACTTGTGTGAATAACATCTAATTATTCTAATTATCCAATTCATCTTTATTATACCAAAAAAAACCAGGTAGAATCCTCTGCTTTCTGCTCACAAACACAGTTACAAAAACAAAATAATAAACTGAACAGCAGCTTTCAAGCCTTACAAACTAATATTAAAGTCAATTTAAAGACAAAAGAGCCTTTTATACCAGTAAATATCAATGCTGTCTTTTGGAAATAGCAAAATAAAATCACCATATTTGGTGATCTTTTTTTTTTGACTGAATCAAGGTGATATTTCAAAATAGATAATTTTGAAATTTCAACTAAATTTGATTTTTCAGGGGGGAAAAGCCAATGCCAAAATGTTTTGTCTGGAGCTATTTGTAATCACTTTGTGAAAATCCTGAAGCAAAACATTACAAGTGTGGATACTTTCATTAAGTGAAGATAAACAATTCTGTAAGAGTTGAAACGCCTTCAGAAAGAAACACCAACATCTGCCACTGCTGCTGATTTTAGTGGTACTGGGAGTGCTCGTCACTTCTGAAAATTGGGCGTTTTGTTGAAGCCCTTTGTCACACAGGTATGAGAACGTGGCTCTGGTTCCCCTCAGCTGTGAGCATTTCTGGAGCACAGTAAGATTTTTCCACCTACATGGGGGTTCTTCACAAGAACCTGCATGGCCTTTGCCTTTTCCCATATTGCTTCGTAAAATTTCTGAGAAAGAAAAGTGTTGCTTTTTTTTTTTGTTTGTCTCCTCTTCTCCTGAAACGGTCACAGAAAGGAGCTAAATCAGAACTCGGGCTCGGACAGTGTAACGCCCCATTCTCATGGCTACACGTGCTTTGGGCCCCATCCCAGCAGAACAAGGATTTTTTCAGGCTTTCTTCTGGGGCACACTTGCTCCTTCCCCCTTCTGTGCCTTGTGGGTTGGTCCTGATCCCCTGCTCTCTCGTGGCTCCGTCCTGATCCCTCTTTTCCTCGAGTCTGAGTCACAAGAGCAACAACCCTGCCTGCTCCGACCTACTCAGTGCCTCAGCTGTTAGGGTAAAGCCCACGCTCCCGGGGGACTCACGTTTGAGTACAACCCCAGGATTGTCAGGGCTCTGGCTGGCAGTGCTGCCGAGGGGACAGTCTAAGGCTCTATTTTAATCTTCTGGAGCCCGGCCAAACACTGGAACGGAGCTGCCAGCACGAGGGGGGCCCTCCTGCTCACTGCGCCTGACCTCCCATCAGGAGAGGTGCTGGTGTGTTCCTTCTCTAACTACTAGGGCTCTTTCATTGCGCCTGACCTCCCATCACGAGTGCTACCAGGGATCCAGCTCCGACTACTGGGGGCTTAACCCTGGCACGGGTCCAGCACACGAGCCGCACGCTGCCTGTCTCCAGATGTAAGATGCTCCCAGTGTAAATTCTCGCGCCGCAGGCTCAGCTGGAGGGGCTGTTTCAGGTACGTTGTTAAGCAGCCATGAAGCGACATCGACTCCTCGTTCCAGTCTTACAGAGCTGGATGCACCCCCCCCAAGGTTTTTAACCGCTTCTTATCTTTTTAATTTGGGGAAGTGTGTTTAACCAGCATTTCAGGTGCGTTTGTGGTTCTGGCCTGAATCTGTGCCCTGCAGCTCAGCTTCAGATCCACGCTCCTGTCCTGAGTGGCATCGGCTCCACAGCCCGTCCCCATGGGCAGTAATGAGGTGAGACCTGGCTGTGCCGTGGGCCTCAGGGAGAAACCCAAACACAGCAGTGAAGCAGAGCATGTCTTACCCACTCCTGGGTACTCAGAGAGGTGACTTTTACAGAAAGCTCTCACAGAGGCGAGCGGTTCAGCTCAATCATGCCCGTTTTTGCTGCTCAGCTCTGCAGAGCTCTCCTCCAACACAGGCAGCAAGCACAGCAGTGTCCTCCTGACTTACTCCTGGTTTGCTCAGTGTCCTCCCGACTCATTCGTAAGTTTGCTCAAAGCCCTGGGACACCAGTGCGAGCCCATCCGGGCATGACATAAACCACTCCATGCTACACTCCATGCCATCCTGACACCCCTTGAAACGCTGTTCTTTTTCATTGAAAGGGAAATGTATTTTTGCCAGCCCATGTCAGTCTGTCCCTATTAACTTCCCTGACGCCCGGCGGGTCAGTGCCAGAGTTACACAGAGCTTTACACCAGATTTACACCTCGGCCGCGCGGAGCCTCTGGTGCTGCAGCGGTGACCGAGCCCGGGACAGCGGGATAAAGCTTCGTCCTGAGGAGGCTCATGTTGAGCTCGGCACCAGACACGGGCTAAGGCTGCCCGTGCCCAGTGTGGGACAGCCTGTGGCCGGTGCGGGGACAGCTCGGGGTGTGCTCTGCGACCGGCGCGAGGACAGCCCGGGGGTCGCTGCCTGTGCCAAACCCGGTGCGGGGACAGCCCGGGGGTCGCTGCCTGTGCCAAACCCGGTATGGGGACAGCCCGGGGGTCGCTGCCCGGCTGCCCCAGTACCGCGGGCTCGCTGCCACCCGTCCCCCTCACGCCCGCCCAACATGGCGTCCCGCGGGCGCCGCCGCGCCCCCTCCTGGCAGCCCGCGGCAACGGCGGCCGCCGGGCGGGACGATGTAACGCCCTCCTGTGCGCCCGGGCTTCGGCGAAGCCATCCAAAAACCATAAAAAAGTGAGTTCCCTGGGTGTTTCCCGCAGCCCTGGACAAGGTATGGCAGGTGTGGCATCCGCTTTGCTGAAGCTCATCCCACATGGATCATGCCCGTCGATGGCGACCGACACCACCCGGGTGACGAACGTGCTCAGAGCTCTGAGGTGACACAGATGACACAGGTAATACTTTTCCTTAAGGTAAATCTGTGAACTCCCACAATATCAGAAAAAGGGGCAGCTCAGAAGGAAATTCTCTCATGCACTGGTCTCCCACATTCTGGGGTGGGGCGGGCAGCCTTTGGCTCCACATGGCGTCAAACACGACCCGAACCTTCCAGAACCTGCAGCCACCACGACCAGCCTTTAACTCACCGTGCAGGGCTCTGTATCGTGCCTTTGGAAAACCTTTACAGCTTTTCAATCAAAAGAGGTTGGAAAGCACCGCGCTAAGTCATTGGGAAACACCTGATATGGGAAAACTTCCAGGCGTTGGTCTCCATGGAGGAGGCATTTCGGCAGCTGTGTCGCCCAGGGCTCAGGAGCCTCGGGAAGACAGTTTGCACAGGGATTCTTGGCAAAGCTAAACTCATAAAGATCACTCTGTTTGAGTGATTGCATCACCGCAGGTTTCTGAGTGACTCCAAACTTGAGATGCATATTTTAAATCTCCCCTGCTGTTGCTGATAATTTGTTCCATATTTACCATATTACTTAGGACTTGCAAATGGGGGGGAGTTTTTTTAGAACGTAAATGTTAATTGAATTAGATAGCCACGGCCACAGCAAGCCAAGCTCATCTCTGGCCCTTAGTGCCATTGCAATCCATGGTTTTAACATTCAGGGTGAATTTAGTGCTATTGACTTTCCCCCAACATTAATCCATGGTGCTTGAAAAGAGATGGGACTTTCTCTGCTATTTAAGCTCAGATGGTAACGATTTCTCTTTGAGCTTCGTGCTGGCTTTGGGTCCCAAGGTTTTCAAAGGATGAGGCTACTGAAACTGTATTGCTTGTTCAAATATAAATATGGGATCAATATATACAGTTCTGGACTTACTCAAAGACCACAGTTCTTAGATCTGCATCTGTCAAGGTAGGATTTGGGTAACAATGGAGGTAGAATAAAAGGCTTAATGCAACAAGCTTTTAAAAGCACAGTTACTCAGCGGGAGTTTTTATGGTAATATTTTTCCTTAAAGTAAATCCGCAAACTCCCATAATGTCAGAAAAAGGGGCAACTCAGGAGGAAATTATCTCATGCACTGGTCTCGTACATTCTGCAGAGATCGCATCCAGTGTCCAGTACTGCATTGTTAAAACCCACTGAATGCAATTGTATTTAAGGGGCCACAGTTACCATTTATGAATAGAATATCCTTTACACACATGATGATAGCCTTCACTTTGGAGGGATGGAGTAAATGACATCTGTGCCGTTGGGCACATTAATGTGCAGGCTGGCGAGAGAGCCACTGTTTCTGTCACAGACAGCTTGATTATTCCATTTTCCACATGTTCTACATTATTTGCTAAATCAATTTGCAGAAAAATCACTTTTAGTTTCAGCAATTAATTTTAAAAGCAAACTGAAGGTTCATTTCAGTGAGAGTGTGCAGCTGTACTGGGCCTCAGCTACCTGATCACAGTCCAAGTAGACAATAATCTAGTTTTCAGCTTTTATGTTAAAAATCTCATTTGAAGTGAGAAACTAATGTCTTTTGCTGGTATTCTTGCTAAATGTCTCCTCTAATTGTGGTTTTACCAATTATTTTAACTTTAATTCTTTGCCAAATGACCAGATTTACCACATACAGGTCCATATTAATGCATATTAATGCAAGCAGTAAAGTATTTCATCCTGCTCTGGAAGTCAGACTTCAGAAAGGTTCAGAAGGATCAGTAGAGATTTATAAGAATGATTCAGGGATTGGAAAACATACCTTAGAGCAAGATACCAAGGCAACTCTTTCTACTTCATTTAACCAAGAGGTGACTAAGAGCTATTAGTTCACATCCTGTTCGTTTTGTGTGTTCATGAGAAGGAGGTTTTGGATCATAAAGGTGTCCTAACATGGGCAAGAAACTGCCTTGTGAGACCCAGTGTCAGGGCACTGGAGCAGTTTGGGGTAGAAATAAGGAGTACAATTAACTTTTGGAGAAACTTGCTGGAGATTGATTTACCCTTTGCATTGAAGTGTTTCTCTAAATTCATATTATTGGATGTGAAAAAAAAAATACTATACCACAGCATGTATTCCCATGAACAATATTAGGAGGAGCTGTGCTCCCAAAAGAGTTTGTCTCTGGCCCTGTGTATGCATTATTCATGGACACACATAATTTCTGTGAGAGGTGAAGGAAATAAATGAAGACATTAAAAGTAAAATCAATTCAGGTGGTCACACTTCATCCCAATTTGTGTGCCTAAGGTCTCTTTTGGCTTCAGAGTTTTTTAAGGCTATTTGCAAAGTTGTAAGACAAAAATGAAGAAAGGGTTGAACTTTGCTTCTGGAACGTATTTCTTGTATTGGGGCATTCTTTAATTTTTAAAAAAATGTTTTGAACAGTTTTTCATACTGGATGGCATACAAGATAGCAATAGTTTTCATACAAGATAGCAATTCCCCTCTTTAATGTGAGATTTGTGTGAAAAGAACCAACTGTCCCTATTCCCTGCAAAACTTCACCATGTGCATTGAACGTATTTTCAGCATAAAATAGCTGGTCCTGCTGGTGTAACAGTTAATGTCTCCTGTGCTTTAATTCATACAGGAATTATTTTGGTCTACGTTGTTAACTAGCCTAAACAGCCTGCATGTTAGCAACCACTGAAGTGAGGCATAGCTTCAGCCTCCATGTGATGCTTAGCAGTTTATTATTAGCTTTGTATTTTGTGGACTTTCATAACACACAGTCACTGCCCTTTTGTAATAAAAATCAACAGCTGTGGAAAAAATGGTGCAGTCGGGCTGTACCTCTTCCTCTGTGGCCTTTCTGTCCCTGTGCTGACCCCTGAGCCCTGCTGGAGGATGCAGAGAGCCCGGAGCTGTGCTGCACCAGTCCCTTTGTGCTGCTTCCCCAGTTTGGGGCAGGAGCAGGTTGTTGGATGGGGGGGGGTTGTCGTTGCTCAGCAGGAAATGTTGTCTGTGCAGTGCCCACCCAAGTGTGGGAGCATCTCCCCCAGCCCTCAGTGCTGACTGCCCCAGTCCACAGCCAGAGGATTTATCAATACACCCAGACCTCTGGAAAGGACATTGCAAAGCTATTGGCAGTGTGAGTGATCTTGACTTAATTCTTCCAGCCTGGCACATAAACAGCTCTGGTTCTACCCTGTGCCCTCTAGGCTGGCAAGAAGGCACAGATTGAAAGTGCAAATGAGCACACTTTGCAGGTTGTTTTGGTGTGAAGTGATGGGGGGGGGCAGGTAAAAACACGCGGTAGGAACACTGAGGCTACAGAATAAATAAATTTGGACTTTGTGCACCCAGTTTTACTGGGGTGAGACAGAACTTCACTTTCTGAAAGAAGTGAAGGATACTGAAAATTGAATGGCCCCGATAAGAGCGTTGGTTCTGGGAGATGAGCACAGGTAAGACCTGCATTTTTGGATGCAATTTGGCAGGAGTGAACGTTGGCAGAGCTGAGCCAACAGCGAGTCCTTTAAAAATCCCATCCTTGCCCTTTTAGTTCCCTGGGTAATCCATCCCCTCGGGCTGTGTGACTGTACACAGCAACACACCTTTAAGTACTTCCGTGCTGGGCTGGAGTATTGGCTCGTGCTCTTCTCCACTTGCCTGTGGGCAGGTTTATAAATTATCTGCTGAGGCTCATTTTGCTTATGTGGTTTCTTGAAACATGCTTAAACTTAGGAGATACTTAGTCAGTACCTTTGCCTCTTTCAAGACATTCTGCTATAATATGTTGCTCTTATATTAGTTTTTTGGCTTCACAGACACTCTTAAAGCCTCTTGACCAGCAGATCTACAGTAAAGCCCAACCTCCTGCTCTCTAACCGTGACCTGCTTGTCAAGGTGCCTCTTCTTCCCCCCCCCGGTTCATCAACTGAACCTTGTTGGCAACAGTGAGCATTTAAGTAGCTAAATGTCTATTCAAAGACTGGTCTGCCAAGTTACCAGTGCAGGCATATTTTTGTAAAGAAATATGCAGCTCAACTTGTGGTGGCCATTGAGAAGCTGAGCTGCAAAAACATCAACACCACAAGGACACAATATTTTTCTCCTGATTACAACACGCTCATTTATTTTGGAATTCTTATGCCAGCAGAGGACTACAGGGCAGTGACAGTAGAAGAGTTGTCCAGATGCCAAGGAAAAGAGAGAACTGTATATGTACTCCTGTCCTGAAATGGTAGAGGGTAGGGAGAAAGGCTAGGTAGTGATTTGAAAGGATACATTTCCATAAACTTTCCAAGGGAATCCACAGATTGCTTCCACAACAGATACCTGCAATACTTTGAAAATATGTATAAAATCCAGCTGATTGCCAGATTCTCAGGTCTGCCTGTTCCCTTTGCAGAGATCTGCAGATTCAGAACAACCTTTCTTTTAAGACTAAGATAAATGATTACCTTTCAAATTAGCTGGGAAAGCCATCACATAATAAAGTACTTGTGGTGAGAGGAATCCCTGTGCCTTGGGCCAGAGAGATAGTGGGCTCTAACATCTGACTGGGGTGGCCAGGCAGCAGTACAAAGAATAAACAAATAACTATAATAGTGACTTTGTTTTGGTTTATGTGGAAAACTCAAATCACTGTGTCTTTCTCTAATATATGTAGACAGTTTTTTTAGCTCTTACTATGTGATCATTTCTACATGGAGACAACCTCTCCAGCACTCAGCTTTATTTAAAACTTTTAGATTCCCTGGCAGTTCACAGCACTGACTTTTTGAAAGAGACTGTGTTCATCAAAATGTAGGGAGCACAGGCTGTATAACCTCATGCAGAGGCTGTGCAGAAGTTTTTTTCTGGGTCATACCACAGTATCTTAAGTTTTCTAAGCCTTTTTTAAAAGCCTTTTTTTCTGTTTTATCTGATTTTTTAAAAAATGAGCACAGGTGTGCTGAGGCAAACCAGCAGACAGTTCTGTTTCATTCTCTGTCTTCTGTCCTACCATCTGTTACCTCCTGGGTTTAACTTAGGCTATAAACTTTTGAGGGAG